TATCGGATTGAGTCTTTAAAGATTTGAGAACACTTGATGTATGTCTTGCCGTGCGTATCTGTGGTGACAATGGGATACCACGCGATTCACTTGATGTATGTTTTGGTGATCAACTTGCGGGTTCCGCCCATGAACCTATGCATAGGGGTTGGCACACGTTTTCGTCGTGATTCTCCGGTAGAAACTTTGGGGCACTCTTTGAGGCCCTATGTGTTGGTTGAATAGATGAATCTGAGATTGTGTGATGCATATCGTATAATCATACTCACGGATACTTGAGGTGACATTGGAGTATCTAGGTGACATTAGGGTTTTGGTTGATTTGTGTCTTAAGGTGTTATTCTAGTACGAACTCTAGGGTTGTTTGTGACACTTATAGGAATAGCCCAACAGATTGATTGGAAAGAATAACTTTGAGGTGGTTTCGTACCCTACCATAATCTCTTCGTTTGTTCTTCGCTATTAGTGACTTTGGAGTGACTCTTTGTTGCATGTTGAGGGATAGTTATGTGATCGAATTATGCTATTATTGTTGAGGTAATTTGCACTAGCGAAAGTATGAACCCTAGGCCTTGTTTCAACGCACTGCAATACCGTTTACGCTCACTTTTATCATTAGTTACCTTGCTGTTTTTATATTTTCAGATTACAAAAACCTATATCTACTATCCATATACCACTTGTATCACCATCTCTTCGCCGAACTAGTGCACCTATACAATTTATCATTGTATTGGGTGTGTTGAGGACACAAGAGACTCCTTGTTATTTTGGTTGCAGGGTTGCTTGAGAGAGACCATCTTCATCCTACGCCTCCTACGGATTGATAAACCTTAGGTCATCCACTTGAGGGAAATTTGCTACTGTCCTACAAACCTCTGCACTTGGAGGCCCAACAACGTCTACAAGAAGGTTGTGTAGTAGACATCACCATAGCTTAGGTGCTAGGATCGGTCGGATCGTTAAGACATTCGACTACATCAACCGCATTGTCATAACGCTTCCACTTACGGTCTACGAGGGTACATGGACAACACTCTTCCCGTCTCGTTGCTATGCATCACCATGATAGATCTTGCGTGTGCGTAGATTTTTTTTGAAATTACTGTGTTCCCCAACATAACTTCCAATCGCTTCTCTTTTGTGAATTTTTTAAGTTCCCCTCTATATTTTTTTGTTTTAAACTATTTAAAAGCACTCGACAGAAATAAATGACTCTCTAAAACTTCCGGGTTGTCTCCCTGGCTGCGCTTTCTTTAAAGCCATTAAGCTAGGCATAAAGTGCTGAAGTAAAGGATCCACCCGGATCCCAAGGTATATCAAAGCCAATTTTAATTAACAATGATTTGTGATTTAGTAGTGAGCACAAAGTAACATATATCATGCAACACCGAAGTCTAACTCTCTTCCTATGCATCGACATGTCATAAAAGAACAATTCATGCACACAAAGTAAAAGGCCAATAAATAGTATAAACAATTTCTTGCAATTTTATCATATTGGAAACATAGAGAGGCGAAGATGTAGTTCCTCTCACATAGAGGAGCAGCAAGCACATGCATATTATATTTATCAAAATCATCAAGTGCAATAGTAGAATGCAACCCATCAATATGATCCTTAATAAGAGCAAACTTCTCCGATATAGTGTAGTTGGGAGAATTCAAAAAGATAATAGGACTCCCATGTGTGGGTGTAATAGCAACAATTTCATTCTTAACATAAGGAACAATAGCAAGTTCATCTCTATAAGCATAATTCATATTGGCATCATGGCCACAAGCATAGCAAGCATCAAGTTCATCAAAAAGGGATATTTCAAAAGAATCAATGGGATCATAGCAATTATCATAGCATTCATCCTTCGGTAAGAACGAAGGGACATTAAACAATGTATGAGTTGGAGGGTTACTCTCATTAGAAGTTGGGCACGGGTAGCTAATCCGCTCTTCCTCCTTTTGTTCTTCGCTCTCCTCATCATCTCTTTCATCCAATGAGCTCACAGTTTCATCAATTTCTTCTTTCATAGACTCCTGCAAAATGTTAGTCTCTTCTTGGACAGCAGAGGAGTCCTCAAAATATATGGTTTAACAAAGGCATTAGAAGCATAATTATCATACCAATATTTAAGTATGGCAATATTTTCAGATTTGTAAAGAGTAGCATCATAATTTTCAATCAAAGAAGCAATTTGATAAGCACCCTTAAAAGCAACAAATTCTTCAATTTGTTGAACATTATAGTAATTATAAACACCCTTAGCATATGAAGATATGATTCCATTATCACTAAACTCACATTGGTAGGGAAGGTGTTTCTTAGGGTCTTCAGAACAACAAGTAAAATCATATATTTCACATAAATTCCAAGCATAGCATTGCAAACGATGAATTTGATCCAGTCCTTTTTGAGATAAGCGGTGTCGCACATAACAAGCATGCTCATCTAAAGATTTTCCCTCAACTAAGCTAGTTGGGGTTTCAGCACGAGCACATAGGGATCGAAGATGATCCAAGTAGAAAGCTTCAGTAGTATGATAGATTTTGGGTGGTTCTTCAACCATTGGTTTAGTAGGTACAACTATTTTTTTGGTATTTTCCATTTCCTACCCATAACTAAAGATAGAAAACAACTTAGAACAGAAAATAAAATCTACTTAGTGATAAAGCAAACAAGCACACACGAGAATATTCACCCCACGCTATTGCTCCCCAGCAACGGCGCCAGAAAAAGTTCTTGATAACCCACAAGTATAGGGGATCAATTGTAGCCTCTTTCGATAAGTAAGAGTGTCAAACCCAATGAGGAGCTAAAGGTAGAACAAATATCCCCTCAGATTCTATCGACCACCGATACAACTCTACGCACACTTAACGTTCGCTTTACCTAGAACAAGTATGAAACTATAAGTACTTTGTAGGTGTTGTAGGATAGGTTTGCAAGATAATAAAGAGCATGTAAATAAAAGCTAGGGGCTGTTTAGATAAAGACACAACTAAGTTAGTTTTAGTAGAGAGCTTTTTTGTCACGAGAAAGTTATTTGTCCCTAGGCAATCGATAACTAGACCGGTAATCATTATTGCAATTTTATATGAGGGAGAGGCATAAGCTATTATACTTTCTCTTCTTGGATCATATGCACTTATGTTTGGAACTCTAGCAAGCATCTGCAACTACTAAAGATCATTAAGGTAAAACCCAACCATAGCATTAAAGTATCAAGTCCTCTTTATTCCCATACGCCATGACCCACTTATCTGTGTTTGTGTTTCTATCACTCGCGCAACGCAGACAATAAGCAAACCATGAACATATTACAAACCCTATAGCGGGGATCCCTCACGCTTGCGTGACACGGAAAGCACCATAGGACAACACCAATAATAAAACATGCAACTCAAATCAATCATGATCATCAACTAACCCATAGGACAAAACGGATCTACTCAAACATCATAAGATAGCCATACATCATTGAGAAATAATATATAGCGTTGAGCACCATGTTCAAGTAGAGATTACAACGGGGAGAAGAGGTGTTACACCGCTGCATAGAGGGGGAGAGAGTTGATGATGGCGGTGGCAAAGTTGTTGCTGTAGATTGCGGTCACGATGATGGCCCCAGCGGCGTTCCGGCGCTACCGGGGGAGAGGGGGAGAGAGCCCCCCTTCTTCTTCTTCTTCTTCTTCTTCCTTGACCTTCCCCCTAGATGGGAGAAGGGTTTCCCCTCTGTTCCTTGGCTTCCATGGCGGCGGAGGGGCGAGAGCCCCTCCGAGATTGGATCTCTCTCTCTCTCTCTCTCTCTCTGTGTGTGTGTGTGTGTGTGTGTGTGTGTCTCTCTCTCTCTCTTTCTGTTTCTGCGCTCCCAGATTCTGGCCTTTCACCGTTTCTTAAATTTCCGGAGATCCGTAACTTTGATTGGGCTGGAATTTTAACACAGTTTTTATCCGGATATTAGCTTTCTTGCGCCAGAAGAAGGGCACCAACCGCCTTACGGAGTGGCCACAAGGACAAGGGGCGCGCCCTCCGTCCCTATGGGCCCCTCAGGCATCGTCTCACGTTGATTCTTTTTCTCAAAAATCACATATATTCCAAAAAAAATCTCCGTAAATTTTTATCCCGTTTGGACTCTGTTTGATTTGGATTTTCTGCAAAAAATGCAACAAACAGGAACTAGCACTGGGCACTGGATCAATATGTTAGTCCCCAAAAATAGTATATAAAAAGTTGCCAAAAGTATGTAAAAGTTGTAGAATATTGGCATGAAACAATAAAAAATTATAGATACAACGGAGACGTATCAGTGATGGTTGTTGCTTAGGTGCACAAGTCGTGTTGGGCCCTAGCAAGACGACTTCTTGAGTGTCTAATACAACAAAGTTTGCCCGACTCCGGTTAGGGAGGCGTGATGATGGCGACATGCCTTCGGCTCGCTCCAGTCCATGGACCCGATTGTATTTTTGTTATTTTTGGTGTTCTTTATACTGCCATGATTTATTATGAGTAAATTGGAAGTTCCTCCCGCCAAAAAAAAGGGAAATTGAAATGTGACATCACGCTCATATGCTTCCTCATGAGCAATAAAATTTAAATAAATAGTAAATAAAATATTATAAAATGTTTTTTTCAAGGACATGTTCGTATGTTCTTAGTGTTTGCAACATACCGTGCGGTGATCTGTGAAAGAAAGTGCTCCTTCCGATGCATATTACTTGTCGCTGGTTTAGTTTAAAGTTGACTTGTACTAAACCAGCGATACAAAATACAGATTGGAGGGAGTAAAATTGGGGGATCAAAGAAAGGCTTTCCAAAGGACTCTCTTTGTTTACCACACACATGTTTTTTCTTGAAGGTAGAAGAGATGTTCATATTCATTGTCGTAAACAAGCTTTACGCTCGCCTCCAAAAAGAAACAAGCTTTACGTTTCACCAGAAATATATGCCATGAGATCTTGACCGTCCAATCGCTAATCCAACCGCCCATCACTCGGGTTGCCCAATGAAGCGCGGCAGCTGGTCACACTCACACACGAGCAACACCGTCACACCGAGCCAGAGCAACCCATCCGCAACTCTTTCCCTCCACCCGCTCGCGCTCACGGCCGCCGCGATGCCGCCACCGCCGCCGCAGCCGGCCCACCTCCGCCTCCGGGTCTCCATCACCCCGCCCCACCCGCTCCCTCTCCCCTACTCCCGCCGCTTCTCCTACGCCACGTCTGGCCTAGCCACCGCTCGCCACCTCTCCCTCCGCCGCGGCAGCCGGCGCCGCGCCCCCGTGTGCGCCGCGCGGAGCGAGGCCGCGGGGGCCGAGGGGTTCGACGAGGAGCTCGGAAGGCTCCTGGAGCTGCTCCCTGGGGAGCTGCGGCAGCGGGTGGAGGACCACCCGGAGCTCCCCGCTCTGGTGGAGGTGGTCATGGACCTCGGCCGCCCCCCGCTCGCGCGCTTCCCCTCCGGCGACTTCCTCCTCTCCCACCGCCCCATCTCCTTCGACGACCTCCGCCAGGCCACTGCGAAGGTCTGGCTCATTCTGGACACTACGATACGCTGCTACTGCTGCTGCCGCTGCATTATTATGAAACTAGTTCAAGTCCAGTTTTGCTTACCTACCTTTGGTAGGTTGGGGACTTTGGAGGGGACAATCGCGCCGGGATTAGCCGCACGCTGCACCGGATCAGCGCGATCAGGAACAGGCAGGGAGACATTGTAGGACTGACCTGCCGCGTCGGGAGGGCTGTGCCCGGAAGTGCTAATTTGCTTCAGGATTTGGTGAAGGATGGTGGGTCGTTGCTGCTCATCGGCCCACCAGGGGTGGGGAAGACAACTGTCATAAGGTATGCTTGGATGATTAAGAAACCTCGGGCAGTGATTTTACTACCTTGTATACTGTACAGTGTATTGGTGAATAGTGATAGATACTTACGTGTGGCAACTGTAATTAGAAGAGCTTCTATGCCAGTATGTACCAGTTTTAGCATCAGATTGTTGCCTCGTCTTGCAGAGAAATTGCACGAATGCTAGCAGATGACTATGAGAAGCGGGTGATGATTGTTGATACATCCAATGAGATAGGTGGAGATGGTGATATTCCTCACCCAGGAATAGGCAATGCTCGTAGGTTGCAAGTGCCCAACCAAGAAATGCAGCATAAGGTTTGTTCTCTTAAGTTTGTTGCCTTGTGGATTTTTGCATAATGTATATGCTTGCATTGTACTGCTCACAAGCCTATTGCTCGGCATTGACATGCATACTTAATACAGATGTTACTACTTGTTTGTTAAGTTTGTCAGATGATTTTATACAGTATTGAACATTTTTGTTTTTTTTAGCACACCGCTTACAATGTAAGTTAAATCTGTTTCTTTAATGCCGATCAGGTGTTGATAGAAGCTGTGGAGAATCACATGCCTCAGGCAATCGTCATCGATGAAATTGGAACTAAGCTAGAGGCTATGGCTGCTAGCACCATTGCACAGCGGGGGATACAACTTGTTGCTTCCGCTCATGGTGTAACAATAGAGAACCTGACCATGAATCCTTCACTAGATATGCTTGTAGGAGGAATACAGGTAATGACTTGCTGCACTTGATTCTATTTACTGTTATGAAACAACCATATTTTCACACTGCAGCAAGATGAATCTGTATCATTTCAGTTGAAGTTATGAACAGTGATGCAGTTCACCAAAATAACCTTATTTGACTTTGTTTTTTAGAGACAGCATGATTTTCTGTTCGTGTAGCTTTAGAACATATTAAATTACATACTCCAAAATCAGTATCGTGAGATGGTGGTAGTGATCCAAATATTACTGGTTTTCTGTTTCATCATGGTTGCTAATTTACATCATTGTCTCTGCTCCATTGTTTCTCTAAGAGCGTCACCCTTGGTGATGAAGAAGCAAGCAGGAGAAGGGTCCAAAAAACGGTCCTAGAGCGTAAGGGCCCATCAACATTCGCATATGCTGTAGAGATCGTGTCGAAAACTGAGTTGCGTGTCCATCGTAGTCTGGAAGCTACAGTAGATGCTCTGCTTGCAGGTTCTCTCTGATTGTGCCACTAATCAACTACATTATGACGTTACATTTGATGCTATGATTTTCTCATAGTCATAGTATACATAAAGCTGTGATGCCATTATGATTAGATTTCGTTTTGTTGGTGCAGGTAGAATGCCTAATGTTGAAATTCGTAAGTTGGGTTCAACCGGCTCGGTGCAGCAGGAAGTTTCTGTCCAGAAGGATCAATTTCGTCGTGGTCCTTACGAAATTGCATCTCAATTTGAAGTTGCTTCCATAAGTAATGCAAGAACAAGCTTGGACTCTACATTTAATCTTGATTCTGCCAACGGACATATAGAGAACTCTAATGTGTCTGAGGCAGGCTTCAATCTCTATGCTTATGGGGTACGAATTTCTGCAATAGACCATTTCCTTGATGTTCAATTTTTTTACAGTTATCTTCAGTAGTTTGTTTACATGTTTAAGGTTTTACTTTGGGGGTGTTCTTGTTAACATGATGGTTATGTGGTATGGACGTTGATTCCATTTGGCTGTATAATATCAAACTTTTGAGGGTCTTTATGGAAGTATGGTCATATCCTTCCAAAAGCAACAACAAAGCCTTTTGTCCCAAACAAGTTGGGGGTAGGCTGGAGATGAAACCCATAAGATCTCGAAACCAATTCATGGTTCTAGCACATGGATAGCTAACTTCCATGTGCCCCTGTCCATGGCCAGTTCTTTGGTGATATTCTAGTCCTTCAGATCTCTCCTTACGGACTCCACCATGTTAAATTTGGTCTACCCTGACCTCTCTTGACATTATCAACGTACTTTAACCGTCCGCTATGCACTGGAGCTTCTGGGGGCCTGTGTTGTATATGCCCAAAACATCCCAGACGGTGTTGGAAAAGCTTCTCTTCAATCGGTGCTACCTCAACTCTATCATGTATATCATCATTCCAGATCCGATCCTTTCTTGTGTGGCCACACATCCATCTGAACATGTGCATATCCGTTGCACCTAAATGTTGAACATGTTGCGTTTTAGTCGGCCAACCCTCAGCGCCATACAATACTGTGGGTCGAATCGTTGTCCTATAGAACCTGTCTTTTAGCTTTTGTGACACTCTTGTCACAAAGAAAGCCGGAAGCTTGGCGCCGCTTTATCCATCCACTTTGATTCGATGGCTCACATCTTCATCAATATCACCATCCTTCTGCAGCATAGACCCCAAACGTCGAAAGGTGTCCTTTTGAGGTACCATCTTCCCATCAAGGCTGACGTCCTCCTCGTGCCTAGTAGTACCGAAACCGCATCTCATGTACTCAATTTTAGTTCCACTAAGCCTAAAACCTTTTGATTCCAAAGTTTGTCTCCATAGCTCTAATGTTCTATTAACCACCGTCCGACTATCATCGACTAGCACCACATCATCCCCAAAGAGCATACACCATGGGATGTCTCCTTGTATATCCCTTGTGACCTCATTCATCACCAAAGCAAAAAGATTAGGGCTCAAAGCTGACCCTTAGTGCAGTCCTATTTTACAGAAAGTCATCAGTGTCGCCATCACTTTTTCAAACACTTGTCACAACATTATCAGCATTATCGTACATGTCCTTGATGAGGGTAATGTACTTTGTTGGGACTTTGTGTTTCTCCAAGGCTCACCACATCACATTTTGTGGTATCTTATCGTAGGCCTTCTCCAAGTCAATGAACACCATATGCAGGTCCTTCTTTTGCTCCCTGTATCTCTCCATAAGTTTTCGTACCAAGAAAATGGCTTCCATGGTCGACCTCCTAGGGATGGCACCAAACTAATTTTTGCTCATGCTTGTCATTTTTCTTAAGCGCTGCTCAATGACTATCTCCATAGCTTCGTCGTATGACTCGTCACCTTAATTCCACAGTAATTAGTACTCCCTCTGTAACGAAATATAAGAGCATTTAGATCAACGCTCTTATATTTCTTTACGGAGGGAGTACAACTTTGAACATCCCCATTGTTCTTGAAGATTGGTACTAATATACTCTGCGTCCATTCTTCTGGCATCTTGTTTGCCCGAAAAATGAGGCTGAAAAGCTTAGTTAGCCATATTGTGCTATGTCTCCGAGGCCTCTCGACACCTCAATGGGGATACAATCAGGCCCATCACCTTGCCTCTTTTCATCCTTTTTAAAGCCCCCCTTGCCTCAGACTCATGGATTCATCGCACAAAACGCCTGCTGGTATCATCAAAGGAGTTGTCGTCCATCTCAATGGTAGAGCTCTCATTCTTTCCATTGAATAACTTGTCGAAGTTCTCGCACCATCTATGCCTGATCTCCTCGTCCTTCAGCAGGAGCTGATCTGCTCCGTCTTTAATGCATTTGACTTGGTTGACATCCCTTGTCTTCTTCTCTTGTATCTTGGCCATCTTGTAGATGTCCTTTTCGCCTTCCTTCATGTCTAAGTGCTGGTAGAGGTCCTCATACGCCCGACCCCTTGCTTCACTCACAGCTCGCTTTGTGTCCTTCTTTGCCACTTGTACTTCTCTATGTTGTCTGCTCTCCTATCCAAGTGTAGGCGTCTGAAACAAGACAATGGTGAATTTGGGGCCTTCTTTGCCACATTGATAGTCCTAGTTTGGTTTGTTGGGAAATGCTCCTGCATGCTGCTAGTGTGTGTGTGTCCTTAGTTGGAAAGCAAAATTGATAGTCCTAGTTTGGTTTGTTAGAAGGTGCTCCTGCATGCTACTAGTGTGTGTGTTGGGGGGTGAGGGCCTAATGTTGCCTTTTGTTTTTTATTGTTCCTGTGACTGCAACAAGACAATGGTGAATTTGCAGTAAATGGTCCATGAATATTGTTAGCTGTGAATTAGTTGTTTAAAAATATTTTGTACTCCCTCCGTCCCATAATATAAGATCGTTTCTCAAGCTAACATAGCTTGAAAAGCGCTCATATATTGTGGGGCGGAGGGAGTCGAATTTTCAGTACTTAAATGTAAAAAAAGAGTTTGACAGTCCTAGTTTGGTTGTTGGAAAGCGCTCCCGCGTGCTGCTAGTTTGCGTGTTGGGGTGAGGGGTTAATGTTGTTTACAACTTATGTAACTTGTCTTGCTTTGACTGCAATAATACAGTGGTAAATAATTGATGATTTTTGTTAGCTGTCAATTACCTGTTTATACATTTCGTGTAGAATTTTCAGTACTTAGTTTGAAACTTATTGGATAGGGTGTTCTAGATATCCGAGGAAATTGCCTTGCAAGCAATTAAACAACTGGAGCTGGAGGACATGATTACTTTGACTTATAACATCAGTGAAGCTGATGCAGTGATTGCTTTGCAATCGAAGCTCAAGAAGAATTCTCAGATTCAGGCTGTGTTGAAATCTGAAGATATACCGGTTTTCTTCGCTAAGGTACGCACTTGCGCTCTTCATCTTCAATGTACTGTTATTTTTTTCAAGTGGCAGAATGATTATATGGTGACTCACTTTCCTTCATAGACAAACTCCCTGGTGCAAATTACCCGGGCACTTCGTGTCCTTGTCGACGATCACGTGGATGGATTGATCGATGTTGAAGATAAGGAGGAAGTAAGATCATCAGAGGAAACCGATGCTTTGGAGGTACTATCATCGTAGTCAATTTGCCCTGGATACAACCTTTCTTGAGCATAACAAACCCATTGTTTCTTTGATAACAGGAAGCAAGATTGGCAGTCGAGCAGGTAGTGATCCCGAAGGGGGAGAGCGTGCAGCTCCTGCCCAGACCATCGACCATCATCTCTTCCCAAGTGAACCTCGTCGAAAGTTTCAACCTGAAGTGGGAAGTCACAGGCAAGGAGCCGAACGCTTGCCTGAGAATCCTTCCTCAGTTCGCTGACAGGGAAGAGGGTACCACCTCGGAGCAAGAGACCTCCGAGACCGCACCCGGGCTCACAGATGCAGATGGCAGCTTCGATGGCATGGACTATACGCAGACTGGTGTCACCAGGCTACCTTTCCTCCCAGAGTAGCATCTTGTTGAGCTCCTTGGCTGTCTCTGTACGTAGCTGTATATTCTGTTTCTTTCTTTTTGCATCCATTCGTCGTTGTCGATACCCTGGTAATTCTATCTCTCAACAGAAAGTAATTCTGTTTACAGTGTCTGTTTGGCAGATAGATAGTGCTGCTTTTCAACTCGCACCCAGCGGCGGAGCCAGCGTAGACGCGTTGGGTTCAAGTGAACCCAACGACTTTTACTAGATACGTCCGTGTGGGTGCGTATTTGCGTGATATGAACCCATTAGAAAATCTTGGCTGACTCCATCAAATTACACACATCACGTCACGTGGATAGGTAAACAAAGGGCCCAAAAGGCAAAAGCCCAGGAGCAAAGCAAATGAGTACGGACGCAGCCTGTATATATATACGCTCGCAGCCGCACACGGCACACCTCGGTCTGTTCGTTTCTCCAATTTCCACCTCTCGCCTGTTCGGCCTCGGCGCCTCGGCCGCCGCACGCCAGCGCTCACTCCCAGCAGTAACGTCGGAAAGCAGCCCGCTGCAGATCGAGGTAATTAGATGACATCGCCATATGCCCATATCCCCTCTCTTGTGGATGTTCTATCTATCCTAATAGCAGTGATTTTTTTGCCCTAGTTTTTTGATTTATTTTTCTCCATGAACTTTGATTGATCTAGGATATGGAGTAGTATTAATCAAGGAGAACTCGGTCATCAGATCCAGATAATGATACAGGCACACGAAGGTCACCCATTATTTTGCAGAGGATAGGCTCCAAAAAACCAAAATAAAGCTATATAGAATGTAGTTCTTGAGAATGCTCCAAAAAACTGTAGGTGGGTATGTGGAGATATTTAAGAAAATTTCAAATTATTTTGCAATGGTAACATCAAACAACTTGTCACATTTTCAATGTTCCAGGAAGATAAGAAGCTACACCTGGAGCTACAAAGTTATTTGATACTACTCATAATATGTAAACAAGTGATTTTATAATATTATTGAACCGGTATTCTTGCACTCTTCAGTTTTTAATGCAACACAATATGTGATATGTGATGTCGATCGTATTTCTATTCATTATGTTGTTTTCGGGTGTCATAATTTTGTTGTAAGATAATTCAAAATTAGACTTTACACTTCACATATTAGTATCAACTTCTCACAATGAGTCATGGAGTGAACCCAATGGCCAAATTTTCTGGCTCCGCCCCTGCTCGCACCGAACATAACGGGATCGGATCCAACTCAGAACTGCACGACAACGTCTGGATCGTTTCGCATCTTTGCTCTTGGTGACATCGTCATTGGCATGAATCTTGCCAACTATCAGTGCTGAGACGACGAGCAAACTCTGTATTTTATTTGGCCGAGTTGCAACTACGCCATGGGGGATCGTCCATCGCTCTATCTGTCGAATGTTGCGACCATCACTGTCATCCATGGCACCATGCATGCCCACGTTTTCACACGGCACCATGCATGCGTGCATATCCAGAATTCCAGAATGCCTGCCTCCTCACTGTACTTTGCTGCCATTCTATTGTGTGTCATTTTATTTTCGAAAAGAGGAAAAGACCCTCTGCCTCTGAATGCACCTATCCATGTATATTATTAACGAAATTTGTATTTTCCAAACGTTCGGATTTTGTGTTTAGATCCGAACGAACTGGATCGAACGTACATGCATCGCTGGGCACGGAAAAATAATATGCAATTGTTGGGAGTCGGACCCAGGTTGATGACATGAGTGCACAGAGGTGTTACGAACTCGGCTAGCTGCTGTCTTTTTGTAGTTTCGCTTTCAATTCTATTTGCCTTTACACACATCCGTATTTTTTTTAGAGAACTGGAAACTGGACCAGCTAATTGTTCAGTTTATTCACCAGTCTTTTTTGTTGAAACTCCAGTTTATTCACCAGTCTTAGTTTCTTGTTTTCCTGTCATTTTTCTTTTCATAGTTAGGTCCAGTTCTCTCACAAAAAAGACCTTATTTTTTAAGAACAAAACATATCGTGATTCTGGAGGAGATAACCGAACTTTGATCTGGAAAATACCCCAGTACGTTTTGTGTAAATAACATGGTAATGTACGCACGGCGACGCTAATAATATACATACAAGCATCCATTGCAAGTTTTGACCCGAGGAAAAAGTGTTGAAACATACCCCGATAATTTGTATAAAAATAGCATGGTACTTATGAAACACTGATCTGATAACTCATGTACAAGCACCATGGTAACTTCTTTATCCGAGAAAAAATACGTTGAATAATATAGACCGGTAACTTGTGTGTAAATAATGATAATATACACACAATAAACATGATAACTCACGTACAAACACTAAGATGACAATTTAACCCAGTAATTTTTGTGTAAATAGGATGGTAATATAAGCACAACAGAGCTGATAACTCACGTAGAAACACCACGGTAACTCTTTGCCCCGGGATAAAAGTTGTTGAAAACCATACATCCGGTAACTTCTATGTAAATAACATGGTAATATACGCACAACAGAGCTAATAACT